AAGAGACTTTTCTGATCTTATTTTACCACCTAAAAAATACATCTTCCTATTTAATTTTAAATAGAAGATACTGACAGGAGGACAGGAGTAATAACAGTTTTTCTGAAGAAAGACTGATTAATCCTAACACATCATCAATTTTTCTTTTTCTGTCCACCACTTGGTTCTATGAGTAACTGTAAAATAGCAAATTTCTGGAACAGAACGGTTTAAAAAGTGTCTTTAAACTGATTTGCTGTGAGACTTTTTAGAAAATTGCAGGTTTATTAAAAATTCAGTGCTTTAGAGTAAAATACACTAAAAAAGAGCTTGGTAATCTAGTATCTGTTAAGAAATAAGCACCTAAAAAGTAACACTGCCAGAGAAGCATTTACTTAAGAATATTCATGAATTGGGGTAAAACCTAGAAATAGGTACCCACATTTGAATAAGTTGACTTATAACAGTACTTTTGTGTAAACCCAAAGCTAGAATAGTGTAAAACTCATTGACATTTGAATACATATATTTACCTGTAAAATATCTGAAGCTTGCAACTGTTTTTAACAGATAAAGTGCTACACAGTGAAAAACATGACAGGTGTGGTAGAAAAAGATTTTGATCGTTATGAGATGAAGGGCTGTTTAGAATATGCGTTGAAGCTGCTGACAGCATCCTTACATCCATATGGCAAACAGGCGGACAGCATGAACCCAAAAGAGTTATTGGACAATCTGATGGAGGTTGCAGAAAGTGTGACCTCTACAGAAATAACAATGTCAAGCTATGAAAAGCTGGCTACAATGGCAATGTTGCTGAAAGAATCTTACTTTGCATTAAGACGGGATCACGTCGTGACACTGTCACAAGTTTCCCGCTGCAAAGGCGAAATAGATGTGCTTAAAAAAGATCTGCACAAAAGCAGAGTGGATAAAGAAGATCTGGAAGAACTCAGAGTGGATAAAAAAGCATTACTGGGGCTATATATGCGTTTAGAAAGTGATTATCATACATCACAGGAACGCTTAAAAGCATGTGAGGAAAAACTAAGAGCAGCAACAAATAAAAGTAATGATGAGGGGCGAGGTGGTCTGAAATCCAGAGCAGACCTTGAACTGTGTCAGGATAATCCACCAAAACCTCCAAAAATCTTTTACAGACCTGGTGCTTTTAAACTACTCCAACCACCCTCACCTAAAGTGGTAGGAACAGACCTGAACAGGTCTCCTCCACCAAACATGCAACAGTGTGCTGTGAATGTGTTCGAGGCATGCTCTCATGATAAGTCGCCCATAGAGGTGTTTCCTGGTATAAAGGTTAAACCCCACTCCCTAGAAATGGAAGGAAGGCGTGCGTCGCCACCTCCTCCTAAAACAGGTGAGAAAAGGCAGTATTTTCAAACTAACAAACCACGTGATGAAGGTGCACGCTGGGACAAAAAAGCTCCTCTTTCAGAGGATGGACGTGATCATCGTAAATGGGATATGCGTAGGACGCAAAGATATGGGATCCAAGAGGACCCATATTATCAGGGGAAATCCGAAGAGGAACCCCCAAAAGACGTACCTAACCCTCCCCCACCTCGGACGAAACGAACCGAGGCGATAAAATCACAAAGGTCCCAGGAACAAGGCCCTACACCTCTGAGCTCGGAGGAGACAGAGAAACTACAAAGGTTTGTAGAAACTTTGAAAAACGATGAAATGGGAATCCAACCAGGAGCACAATGTAGTGATCTGATCGCTACTAAATCTGAAGGCGCGAATGACAACATTACAGATGTCGGTGAAACACACCAAGACATTGCTGTCGTTGCCTCCAACAACCCCTCATCGGACGAAGGGGGGGTAAACTCACACACAAACGATGATGAGTCATCACAAACTGAAAACTCAGAACCTGACTTTCATGATTTTGAACTAGGCATTCCAGTTCTGGGAGGACTCCCAGATAACCTGGTACCGAGTCAAGAAGCTGGGCCAGTATGTTTCACGAAACCATCACAGGCCATCGCTCTTTTCTCAACCAATGACGTCGACCAAGGGCCTCAAACCTATGGTGTCTTACCCATAGACAGGTCCGACGACTCAGAAAAGGATTCGTTGGAGCTCCTCCAGGAGCAAGAACCCTCATCAGTCTCATCACAGATTGAACAGGTGGTCGCCCAAGCCGACACTCTGACATCTGATGAAGAAAGAGACAAAATTCGCCAAGTTCTTTTAAAATATGAAAAGTCATTTTCAACTGACCCAGACATCATCCAACTTCAGAAGTTGAACGATCCTGCAATTAACTCGATGATACTGTATCTGACTGACCCAGACAAATACACCCCATCGAAAGGTAAACTGGATTCCAATCCAGACCTAAAAGTCCTCTTTCAGCTGCGCAAACAGTTAAAACTACTCAAGGACAGCCTAACTTTAGCTCATGGAGCGACGTCCTCACCCGTGTTCGCGGTCTCCCATGACCGAAGGGGGGTGACGCCAGTTAGGATAATGCTACCAGACGCGATAACGTGAGCAAATCTGACATTCAGAGTGAGTGGCGCACCGAAACGTCGTTTTCTGGTTGCTTAATCACTGCTTTTGTCAATGTTGAAACGTTGTTTAACTGGTTGCTTAGTCACTGTTTTTGTCGATGTTGAGACATCGTTTAATTGGTTTTGGTTGTTTCTCAAGCAAGAATGAATTTTGTGTGTAGTTAAGTTAGAGACTAAGAGGCCTTCAACCATGCCAACATGCAGTTCATTCGTTAAATTGCAATCTTTGCGGAGTCAATGTATATTATTGCTACCTTAAGTACCATAATCTACATTGATCTCACAACGCTTAAGCCGAACCTACTCGAACAATTCTATTCGGGGGGGTAGCTAATTCTTTTTGATGAGTCTCGCCATAGTGTAGATGAACAGATGCTCAGATATATTCATCAATTAACGCGGATTCCTCATTTTTCTGAACTGAATAAAACGTGCATTGAATTTAATGAAATGCAAACGTGAGACGTCATTTATGTTTGACCCATCAAAATGAATGCGGTCATTTATTTACAGAATCAAAGTTTAACATCAAACATTTACATTAATTTGGCAAATTATGAAAATAACAACTTAAGCAATCAATCAGGAAAAATCATACGGCCATGATTTTTCCGTTGCTTCACCACAGACATTTATGAAACTGTACAATTATGATCTTTTACCCACACGGATGTGGATGAGCATTTTACACAGACATTTCTAAATATCTGGAAGAATATCTACTTGATAAAAAGTTTAAAGATGGGAAAGAAGTTTAGAGGGAGTAAAGATGGTATGGGAGGGGAAGTGTTCACCAGAATTGACACTCTCCATCAGAACCCAGCTCTCCCCGGTACGCTTGGTAGGAAACTTGACTCATTACCTTTCTGAGATTAATCAGCAGATATGGAGCTCCGTTAACGCTACCTGTCCAGCGTCTCCTTAGGATGCTGTGAATCGTCAGAAGTAGTGGCGAGTGAAAATGTTATAATCCCATGGAACTCGGAAGAGCTCTGTTGTCATGTCAGGATCATCCCGTCTCTCACAGAACTGTCCGCGCCGCAGAACTTCTCCAACCAGCAGAACTCAACAGAACTGAGTAGTTTACAGATCTCTCACAGAACTGAGTAGACCAGGAAGTACCGATATTTTAAAGAACTGTTTTCCGGTCCATCTGGGAGTATTCCCATTGGCCAGAACCGACCAGACGGGATGTGTTTTGTGACGTAAAAGGTTAGAATGCAGCAAGAATTGTTATGGAAAGATCAGAAATGTTCTCACAGACAGAGAGAGTTTTGTTTTGGCGCGTTTCAGAAACAGGTGCCAAAAACCTCTATATTTATGTCTGAGAGGATTCTAAAAACATGACAGTTCGTTCTAACAACTTGTTTTGCGTTTGACTCCAACCTTGGACCAACTTACACTTGCTCATTCAAAAGCAGAAATCAGAAAAGGCATAATTACTCTGTAACAGCTTTGACATGAGTTCTAACTTTGCATGAGAATAAAAATCATTACACAGTTAATAAAATTGATTAATTCACTGCAACATCTAAAATGGTTTGAACTAAGACACTTTGATTATCAACATTTGTAAAATAGTAATGATAATAAAAAAGAGAGTGTTCTTTCACATGAATCTTCAAGAGAGAAAGTCTCAGGATGGGTGAACCTGCATTTCTGGATTCAAATCAATGAAATGACAGTTCCTGTCCCACAAGGTTCTTAAGGTCAAGATTTTTGACCTTAGACTTAGTTTTTGACATGGGCCTAGTCCACTACAGTCCCCCCTTTGGAAATCATCACCTGTCCATGGGGATGAATTCCAACTATGAACTTACGTCTTCGATTGTCCTTGAAGCTTGATGTAATCCAGCAAAGAAACAAGAGTCAAGAGTAATCCAGCAAGGAAAACAAAAGTCAAAAGTAATCCAGCAAGGAA